ATTTTTCTGGTGGTGGGGGTGGTGGTGCTGGCACAGGTTGTGGTAATGATGGAGGGAAAGGAGGAACAGCATCAGCTGTTGTAAGTAAACAAGTTCTGATGTTGGTGCCCTTTTATGTTGGTTTACAAACTCGTAAATCACGACACGAACCCGTAGAGCCTGAGTGAGTTAATATCACCAAGAGAAATGACATATGCCTTGACAGGAAAGAACACTCTGACATTGTCACAGGCTAACATCAGTAGGTTCGGACTTACGTCCTGGCGTTATCAGGCGTCCAAGCTTTGGAATACAATAGCTTACCTAATAGAATAGCTTACCTCAGGGCCGTCATCGGATTATAAAACTTTTAGAAAACTTTTGACAAATGAGTGAATAAAAAAACGCGGAGACTGTTTAAATTTTAGGTTTAAGCGACCATTGGTATAATTACGAACTACAATAGATTTTTCATTGCCTTTTTCCAGATCGGTACTTACGCTGGGGGTGGGGGAGTGTCATACTGTCCTGGGGCAGCTGGCGGGAATGGAGGTCAGCAGGGAAAGCCTGAAAAAGGTTCCTGCGGTTCATCTCAAAGTGGAAAAGCTGGGACCGAGAGCCTTGGGGGCGAAGGAGGTAACGTCAGAGTGGTTTAGTTTTGCGAGGCGAATGTCTGGTCAGAGGGTGATGAAGCGTATATATAGCATCCCCACCCACCCCCTCGTCATTAACATGCAATGTTGCATATTTCTGCTGTTGTTTTCAGTACCTGTTCTTTGATACTTCCGATACTTCTGTCAGATCTGATCTGACAGAAGAAATATGTTAAGCATAAAGGATTTCTACGGGAAACTTTGAGCTAAATCAGAAGCATATAGGTTTATATGTCCCTGGCTAAATAAGTACAATGAATCACATTGTGTCTCAAGGTACCCGGCAGCTGGGAGGTGTTTTCGAACAGCTAGATACCCCGTCAGCCTGAAATTCTTATAGAATTTCCACGGAATACTCATATGCATTCAATTCTTCTTAGGATAGTAAATCTTTGTCCAGAAATGCCAAGCGATTTCAAGTATTATTTTGTCTTTGTCTTTGACAAACCCTCTAAGAGTGTTCTATTTCTAGTTTACTTTTGCGGCTTCAGTTTGTATCGAATTGACTTGAGATGTTTATCGAATTGACTTTAGATGTGTATCGAATTGACGTCGAGTTGTATCGATTCCACTTGTAGCGAAACGACTTTGTATCGAAATTTGACGACTTTGTACCGAATAGATCGTAAACCGAAAATTGTGTAACGTAGGTTGTTAAC